CTCACCCTTCATAAAGTGTGACAACACCTCTTGTGGTAGCCGTTCCATCTCACGAAGGTAGCACAACCCATATCTCGCATAGTTCACATGCCCCGCAGCAAAGAAGTATGGTAGCATTTGCTTGTAGGTTGCCAGATGAAGTGGCCAGTCACCTTCGCGCTCAGCCCGTACGAACATCATGGTGAGCAGGACAGGTTTAATCAAGACATCGACCCAAAATTATTAGTGCCCGTCTATTACAATATGATATTTTCATAATACTTAGTTCTAATGGATAGCTTGACCCCTAAAACCTAGTAGGTATAGAGACAAAAATCACCTTCCTAAGGTGAATAGGTAGGGAGTTATGGTCATTTATAGGTAATGGCGGCCATCTTGGCAGCCATCTTGGAAATTACCATTATGTAATACGATATTAACATAATACTTAGTTCTAATGGATAGCTTGACCCCTAAAACCTAGGTATAGAGACAAAAATCACCTTCCTATGATGAACAGGTAGGGAGTTATGGTCATTTATATGTAATGGCGGCCATCTTGGACGCCATCTTGAATTTCTCAAATTGCTCAAAGGTGACAACATGTCATCAAGCAGTTTCTGAAAATAGAGACCCTTGGCTACCAAAATCAACAGTAAAAAAACTTAATACAACAATGCAGGGTCAACCATCTCTGCCCCCGGACTAAAACTGGATATCCGTCTTTATATAACGCGATGTGATAATGGTAAGTAGTATGTAACAATTTTTAAACTATGGATTGAGATACATTCTTCTAGATAGTTCCATCTAAACAAAATAACACTATTGTAATATTTACTTCTTAGTCACTGATTGGGAATGGACGTTTGGATACAATTTTGTACAAAATGTATAACGATTTCTGAATGCAATAGTGAATAATAAATACAAAAAATAGGTCCGCCTTTAACGTCATCGGTATAGTGGCAGTTTCGACTATTTCGGACAAACTGTTACATTAAGTACCTTTCAATGCTCAAATCTTGTGTCTGCACATCTGATATTCTAGAGTGAGCAGGTCAATTTGTCACTAACTGTCTGTTAGTTTATTGGAATTAGTGTATTTTTTCCGGAATTTACGCTCCACCCGATTGTTCCGGACTTCAGGAACACCTTTACCGGAAGCGTAGAAAAGCATGGTCCAAATTAAATTATTTTTAAAGTTCAATGTATAGTTTATTTTCCTTTCCGTTTAACGAAAATTAGTCCATGAATATCAAAGTATCCATCTTGGTTAGAAAGAAAGGGAATCGATCAACAGAGACGACGCTGAGTCATCTTTACGACCCCATTTTAACATCCACTAAGGAAGAATTTGGGTAACATGTTACCCGTCCCTTTAAATACCTGCAGTAATAGAGTGCTACTTTGCAAATTTCTCGACATTTTCTCACAGCTGACTTTACTGAATCGGCACATTGTGGCTAAGTGAGTTGTTTTCAGAAGTTTAGAACCATTGGTAATTTGATCCTTCACTTGACAAAGGAAACAGACGTTTCGAAAGCTCGCAAATAAAAGTTTTCCATTCGATTCCTGTTTGTGTTCAAAACAAACTTAGCCTTTATCTTTAATACAAAATTGATGAATCTCATTCCGAATAAGTTCATAGCTCAAGATCATGAATGTCTGGAATCATATGTCATTAACAAAGCAAAAACAATGTCAAGATTCACTACATACTAATTTCATCTTCTAGCTTTTGAATTTCATGAGGCCTCGTTAGGTTCCATCTTTTCATTTTCTCCGTCAGTGCATCCATTTTGGGCGAAATCATTTCCTCCTCTGCTTTTCCTTGCATTAGAAATACGTATAATTTAAACTTCCCATAATTGTTGGAAAATACAATTGCATACTTAAAACTTCAAGCACCTTTTTAGTTTTTATTAAACATTCTATCAGGTTTCAAGATATAAATGTACTTTCTTACGGATGTCAAAGTACCTTATGGATATAAAGTAACAAAAGACGTTAAAGAAAACAATGACAATGAATATAACAATGAATGATTTCACAGAAAACCGATCAAATCCCAAAGATCAGTATATTTCCAGTTCCAGACATTATTACTCGTAACTTTTGAATGCTACAGGAACTTGAGTGGAATATTTATAACAATGAAAGAATGAAGCAGGCCTAACATATATGCTTAAGATCGACTGAGAATAGTTGTAATCAGCATAGACAAGAGATCTAGACTGATATATCAAAACAAATATGTGTCATACCCGACATAAATACCATCCTTGTCTCCCATGTAATGAGTGAAATACAGTAGCATTAATATTGCTACAATTTGGAAAAAAAAAATCAATGATACGTATTTTTAAATAATTTTATAATAACAATGTGCGATGTAAAATTGGAAACATCTATGTTTACTTTTATCTATTATAAAGTAAAATTATTTTTCTTCACAGAATGAAACAAATAATACAATATATCTAACAATCTATATTCTCAGTCGATCTTTAACAAACAAAAAACAATTTATTTGACAACTCAAAACATATTTTATGTAGAACATAGATCTGATTCTGCAAAACATCTCAAAACATTTCATAGCACTGGAAATACTTCTATATGCATTCGTTGTTACCAAACCATTTATCAATTTTTCCTTGATAGACTGGTTATCTTTTCATTTGTATTTAAAAACTGGTATAAGAAATAATCACCGAGATCGGACTACACATAGTTTTATGTATACTAATGTTATTATTTTTATTGTTGTTCTATTTGAAATTTTAATAATTGTATAATTTGTGCAGTTTGTTTTTAGCAAAAATTTAATTTTAGGATACGCAAACTACANTGTACGAATTGCTATTAAGTTTTTTTGTGATGGCGACCATTAAACCTGTTCAAACCCTTTATCACCTGTATCTCTCAAACCCGTGTTGTTAATTTATACACAGCGATTCGACATCTACCACGTTCATCAAAACATTTGGGGCAGGCCTGTGAATATCTAATCACCTGCGTCAAGAAAACACCGTAGGTAGGGTGTTTCTTTGAAGAAAGGGGAAACATCACAACAGCAAAAAAGGAAATATCACGTTTATCAGCCAGCTAAAAATGGCCATGCTCTGATTATCATTTTGTAACAAAACAAATCGAAGTAAGCGGCATATGTAGAAGGGTGTGTGTTGTCTTCGTTTTCAAGATCAGGAGGGTAGAAACGAAACGAAGTTGTCAAAAGTTGCTTGTTATTTAAAGACAAAATATAAATTGTATATCTAAAAGTGAAAATTGAACGATTTGGCAAGCTCATTGTTACCACTCCTGTTCAGTTCTTCAATTAATTCAGCCATTCAGCCTTACAAAAGTAATCTGCACACGATATTGAAACGTTTTTTTTTTCTTTTTCAATTAGTATGACAACAGCCTGCTTGAAAATCTTTTTATAAACTCAACAAAAATGTTGTCACTTATTATTATTCCTATCTCATCCTTGTTATATCTACATGTTACTTGGTGTTTTCTTGGTGATGAACTAAACAAACGTCTTTCCATACATCATACAGCTCGTATGTTAAACAATGATTATTTCTTTCGACTTATAATGGAAATTATTTATTGATCCATTTTTTCCGCTCATAGTTAGTAAGGAAACGAAAAGGATGATAGATCCACGTACCTTTTTCCAAATTGGTTAAGTTTGATTCACACGACTCCAATTCAGCTTTTGTATCGTGCATGTCATCCTGTGTTAATTTGCTTTGATGGTGCTGAGTTGAAAAGTCGTCATCTGTGCGTAATTTTCCTCGAGATTCATGTTCCCCAATGGGTTTTTTTAAGTTAGATGGAAAATTAAATTTCCGGTCAACTCCTGAAGTCTGCAAGCCACCTATCTCGTCGCTAAAAGAAGAACTGAAGGCTACTTTAAAGCAATCTTTTTCTGTTTGACATTCCGTGTCTACAAAACTTTTCAGCTCAATTTTGTTTACCTTATCCTTACACTTAGGGCAAACATCGTACCACGTTTGCTTGCACTCTTTTATTAAACTGCCATGTAATCTATCGAGTTTCTTCAATGTGGCGGACAAATCTCCCATATGCTTCTTAGCGTCCGTAGAAATTGCCTACAAACAGAATTATGTTAAATAATCACTATGACAGCATGTATGTAATGTGATTTAATATAAGTGTCTAAAGCGTATATGCTATATGTATCAGTTCATTATAGAAAATATGTGCAATACGAGTACTGTCTGAAAATGGAAAGGAATGCATGTGAATATAATATATATGTTACAGTATTTATTAATTTCCTAAAAACTTAACAAACACTGTAAAGTGTTTTCCAGGTTTGTACATCTACATCTATAACGACCGTTTTGTAAAAGAGATACTTTTCGTGTTCTTTATGTACCCATAAAATGTTTGCCCGAGTTTGATGACCGATTATGATATAACCTAATTTAAAGGGACAATTTAGTGAAGTAAGTTTTTTTGTAACCTTGTCTTATAACTCTTCATGAATATAAAGTTTGATACTCCCTATGAGCAATTAATGTAGAAAAACTGACAAGAGACAATATTTTCTCGGCTTTTTTAATCTGTAATGGGGAAATCCTTAACTGCACAGCCGTACGTTTTAGCGGCAGCTGTCAGAGAATTCCAGCCGAGGAGAGAAGGTAACTTCTCGCTTTATTCACCTAGCCTCTCTGGAATACAAGTAAATGCATTTATTCTGAATCAAAATCATCTTCCAACATCATCTTAAGCTCAAACATCGTTATAAATGATCGAGTGATCTATTGATATCGTACTTTCTGCGGTTTGAAAATCTCTCTGCAGTATCCTTTCAGTGCGTGCATGCTCTAATTGAACATGATCGTTCTTATTCAAATCCAAATGAACAGAAATAGCTGATTAGAGGTTTATATTATGATACTTATAATTCTTACTTGCGATGTATTCTGTAAATTCAGGAATGTGTTATGCGTGAACTGACATTGTGCTGTCGGTCGACAGCGTAGTGCTGTACATGTTTAGTTCTCACTGAAAGGCCCGGATATTGCGCTATTTCGGTCGTAGCTATTTTTATCACCGGCTTTCCCAAACGATGAAACTGACCACACTGGACATTGGAGTTCAGGTCAGGTGATTATCAACTACGTAAACTTTCGTTAGGAGGTATAAATTTTCCCAAATTGCTTAAACTTGAAGTTTTCCCAAAGCTCGAGACTAGAATGTGAAAAATGAAAATGCAGCAAATGGGTTACCCTCATATGTTTATATTCAAACAACGAAAACTTAGCAATCCCAACCAATATCCATTTCGTTTTGCTATAATAATCTTTATAAGCGTCCCATGCAGACTATATCTTGCTCAAAGATACGGCACAGTGCCGTGCCGTGACTCGAACCCGGAACCCCTCGGTCAAGAGCCCAGCGTCCTACCACTAGACTACCGTGCCTCCTAAATATATAACCAGTTGTACAAAAGTACCGATCCTGGCACAGGGTCATGGAGTCCAATTTCCTATATAATCCTATAGTACCATCAGTGGTAGGGGGTACCGGTCGACGTCACAGAAGGCAATAGATCAAAAAATAAAATTATGATCGATTATTATAATCGATTTGAATGGCTATTGTTATCGATTTGTAAAGGTATTGTTATCGAATTGAACGGGGTATTGAATTGGAGGCACGTGCGACCACAGGTGTTCAGTGGTCAACGTCCTTTGCTGGGACTGAGATACTGATGACCATGACAGGAATAGACATGTGTTTAATAGGGAGGTACATATTAGGAATGGTGGTTATGTGTTTGTTTTTCACGTGAAGTTCCAAGTCAATAGACCAAGCGTATTGACTCAAACAAATCTTGCATTGGTGCTTCGTGTTTCACGGTGTGTTCCTTTCCGCGTCTCAATCATAAATGACGAGTTTAAAGTTTTGTGGTTTGTTTATACCCTTCCTATTGCATTGTGGGTAAAATATTTAAAGCATGACATATACATATAAATATAACGCTCAAGTCATGTTTATAAATGAGTCATTTAATGTGTCTGTCATTAGTAGCGAACACGGGTCAACGAATCCCATGCCCACCCGTACAGTATGAAGCATATTCTTTAATTGGGGAAAACGTGTTTATCTGATTTAGTATTTGTTATTATTTCAACAATATACACAAGTGACTTGTTGAAAACCATATGAGTGTATTTAATCTGAAATTTGGAATTATATAACATGTATAATGACTATGTATTGTACATGTTTGGATATTATGGATTCACATACAAAGAGTCCGCTGTGTCATAACAGAAACTGTTTGTCTGACCTATACTTACCTTTAATGACAGAAACAATAAACTCAAATGAATACATGTACGAATCGTTTCTTGATATTTTCTTCTCCTTTATAAGATACATTAAAGCGATTTTCATAACGTCTTCTGATATAAAATGTATTGTATACTGTGTCTTACCGCATGAGCAAGTACACCACTGTGTACATATCCCGTTCCTGTTTACAAATGAGATGGACATATAGCAATACGCACGATGAATTTTGTTACGACTTACTGTTACCTGGTGACATTGTTCTTACTAAAACTACTAAAACACAATAACGCCCAACCCGAGCATTTCAATGTTAAAAAAAAAAAAAAAAAAAAAAAAAAACTATTTCAAACCCTTTCCGATAACGTTACCACGGAAGAGATCATATAACGTTGACACAAAGGGATCCTTATTGACACCTGCAACAAAGGGTCTACTACCCTTTAAACTACATATACAACTTAGTGTTATAATTAACATTGACCTCGGAATGCCTTTCCTACCAAAGGGGGTGCCACTAGGGGGTTCTGGAGGAAGTATAGGATTATATAAGAGATTGCACTCAATGACCCTAAATATATCATAAGATGTTTTTCCAGTGATTTCCATTGTTATCAAGCTTGAAATCCAAAATGAAAACCAAACACAAGTCTATATTATTTTTCAATATTTAATGCTTTTCATACTGTGCAGTTGTTTAATTTCACAGGCTAATATTCTTGATATTTAATCCCTGAGAAGTGTTAGGCCTATACTTAATAATATAATCTATGTGAAGATACTCGTAGACAAGTTAAACATTTCTGAAACTGTTTAATATTAACCATAGCAAGATACGTCTTGTAAACGAATCCGTTTGAAACAAGAGGCTAATGGCCACATAACTCGATGGTAAAATATTCTACAAATGGCTTTATTAGATTATCTGTATATTTATTCTTATTGTCTTCGTGTGACCATCCAGTAACTTATTTAATCTCAATGATGTAATAATATAGCAATAGACATCTTAACGAGCGTTCAGTACCTAATATAAAGCCTCACGTAAACCGATTCATTAAGCAATGCCTGCACGATTTGTTTCTGGATAGAAATAAGTAAACACCCAGGTGATAGGTGCGGCTGGCCTAATGCTCGGGGCCCTCGAAAGGGCTGCTTTCACAACTAGCATGTTTTCAAATGAAGACTACAATAATTTCAACTCTCCACAGTTATAAGATCCCCCTTTTTTACCTCACATAATACTTATACTCACTAACATGTGGATTATAGGGCACTGCCCAGTCGTAATATTTTGGGATGCTGTATATTGAATATGCAACCTCTGCCAATGGCAAACATCATGTCAAAACAGTTTGCATATCATACTTAAATTTGGTAAAATAGTAAATGTCAATTTTGGTATCTCGTTAAATAAAATTGTTTAATTTTTGGCCGGATTGCAACGCAATCAGGGCTTATAGGTTGGTGATCCACTCCGTCCGTCTGTCCGTCCGTCTGTCTGCACTAAAGTTAAGAAGAATGGTTAAGCTCTGTTTCCAAGTTAATAATTATTCCACATCAACTAAACCTTACATGGCTTATGTATCTTAAAGGATGCTCATCACATGCGATGCTTCAGATGCTGCTTCTGACCTACATTTTTCGCTTCAGTGACCAGGTTAAGAAGTTTGGTTGACGTCTGACACAATCTGCACTTAGGTTAAGAAGATTGGTTTGGGTCACTTACCTAGTAACTACTTGTCCTACATCAACTAAATTTGCATGGCTTATGTATCTAAGGATGCTTATCACATGCGATGCTTCGGTTGCTGGTTTTGACCTGCATTTTCTGCTTCAGTGACCAGATTAAGTAGTTTGTTTAAGGTCAGTTACTAAGTAACTACTTGTTGTACATCAACTTAACTTGCATGGCTTATGTATCTTAAAGGATGCTTATCACATGTGATGCTTTACATGAAAATGTATTGCAGCAATCCTGCCATATCGCCATGGGCGGTTTCTTGTTTTATATGGAAACGTATAACATATTTTACAATTTCTTTATTACATCTATTGCATACATTATGGTAACATGTTGACAGTAATTGTAACGTAAAACGTTTTTCCATGTAAATGTCAATAACAAACTTGATAAATGGCGCAGCAATTTTTTCTCAAAAGGAAGGTATAGTCTATCACAGGGGCGTGGATCGCTTTACTTTAGTAGAGGAAACCACTATTTTTTAATATTGCAAGTAAAGCGATCCATGCCCCTGTGTTTTCTATAACATTTAAAAGGTCTGCACAACATGCATTACAAGTATTAGTTATAAATTCTCAGGCTTAAAATAAATTCCTTTAAGATATACCTTTATAACTGTCGGGGCGAGAATATGTACATCTGGTGGTGGGCTGCCTTAGCTAATCATACGGTCTATTGATTTTAGGCCTTATACATGGTTTAGGTTTCAACTAGATCTTTAACATATTTAACCTGAACATCCGAGTCTATATAAAGCCATATATTGTAGACTTCTATTTGAGGATAGACTGGGAAAAGAACTCGGTTTTGTGGGTTTTCTACTTTCGATTCACTATACACATTATATTATAAGATTGAGTTATGTATTAAAGCAGTTAAAAACATACGTCTTAAATGAAAACTTTTATATCCATCAAGAATTAGCAGAATGATAATTCTGCGAAAAGACAGATATGCTGTGTAACATTCTAAACCCCTAAATATTTATAACATCGTTATCGGCACTAGTCGTGATGTGTATTGATTGTATAAACACTATACCATTGGGTTCCATTTATAATCCAGATCTTGTTGAGGGCAAACTCGAAAATATCTTGGTTTGATTTTTTCTATCTACGATTCGATATACAGGTTATAAGATTGTAACGTTTGCATGACATGTATGTCTATCATGAGCAAACCCATTGCAAAATGCTTATGCTTTAAAATGGCCATATCTCAATACATGTATAATGGTGAAAACGAAAGAAGAAATATTTTGTAACATTTAAAAAAAAAAGCTTATCTTTTGTATCTGTATCGGTAGATATTAAGACTTAAAATATAAATGCAAAGGCTGTGGACTTAATGCTATCTCGTTGAAAGTTGAATTATTAACATTATAGGCATTCAAAAATTCACATAGCGACATACCTGTACAACTTCCGGAGGCGCGGCCGCGTACGCTGGTATGAATGTCCTGCGGTAGACTGCCATTCCTAGTCAGGTGGGTCTTTTGTTTGAGAAAAAATGGTACCTCAAATCAAAACTGTCAAATATACCGTAAGTTTTGGTTCCGTGGCAAGATTATACACTGCCATGTTTGGAACAAACTGAAAACACATAAGTTTCGGGTTTTCTACTTTCGTTTCACTATACCTGGTATTTGAGGATCTCTATTACGGCTTCTGATAAAACACGCAATGCGCAACAGCGCATGCATTTTAACTGTGCTATTATTTAAACGAATATTTTGACCGTATTCAACATTGAACCAAATTTTTACCGGTCACTTCATTCTTTATGGAACTTAAACTTTGAAATAGCAATGCAAAATAAATCAAAATTTCCAACAGTATATCCTGTATGTTATGATTATAATCAAAACAATATTATTCAATAATTTCAGTGTACACAGCCAAAATTTCGAAAAGTTACATATCCTACAACTCCTCATCTTGCATTTTTAATACCTCGTACGGTTTTCCCTTTACTGATATCGCCGCCTGGCACCTGCACCGCATAGAGTCCGCCAATGTCTAGATCTCAAGCTGAAAAATGATCTGTCATTCTTGAAAAAAGTTTGCGGCGTAAAGTAGCATGACCCACACAATATCTATTGAATTAATGTGCTAGCCGTGGAAGTATCCTCTTGTTGTTGGTTAGAAACAGTTTGTAGGCTCTGGACGTATGACATGGGCCTTATCCTGTGTCAGCCGTATCCAACAACTTGACTGGATGTGAAGAAGTAGAACGGGCTGATCATTTGCTCTCTGGCTGCGTTCCTTGTTCTTCCTTCTCGAACAATTGACGTCTAAGTAGTATTCTGTAGATTATGTGAAACCTTTCCGCTAAGTTAGGGTCCACAGTCCTCTAATCCACGATGTTTCGCCCAGACTACTCTGATATACCTTATATGACGCCTCGCCTATGCCAGACATACATTACACCACTCTCTCTCAAAGGTTTTTTTCGGTGGTCCAATAGTGTTTGTAGCAGCGTCTGTCTCTCAGTTCCGTAGGTGCAAGAAAGCAATGTATCGATTGTTTGGATCGTGTTGTCACTATTTGTCTACACAAGGGGATCATCGCCTTTATTCTGTATGCTATTATCAAAGAGTTCAGTGCCAAATTTCTATTTTCTATTTTTGAATTGTTCATTTAAAGGTGGGGTCCATTTTTGGCCCACGCAGCGATTTTTTCATATTTTGCAACAACGTTGCCAGAGTGCAGACAGTATTGGAAATGATAGTCTCAGCTCCCTATGGTCTAATTTGGCCAAATCGATGCTCCTTGAAATACTCCTGCTCAGAACATGAAGTTATGCTTACTAGAGAGCCTGGAAAAACACTTTTTTCAATCAAAAGCTGATTTTTTCCGTTGTAATGCTGTTGCTAAGGTGTAAATTTCTAGCACTTGCATTTTGTTTTAGTTGAAATTTTGATTTTACTTATCACTCGAATATTACTTAAAAACAATGTTTAAAACAAAGACAAAGACAAGATGTAAAAAATACGTACTTCTCACTTTCGTTACATTTCGCCTTCAAGACAAAAACTTAATACTTTTCTTGATTTTTTTTTTTTGTTTGTAAGCAAGGAGATTGTGTCTTGTTGTGAAACATGTATCCCAAATAATATGATATACAGATCTCATAGTCACTTTTAGATGTAAGGTGTTCGGAGATGATACCAACCAGCTTTATAACATTAGTTTTGAGCAATTCACATAGCCAACTACACTGTGGCTGAAGAATATTTCGTATCTTGCACCTACTCTGATTCAAATATTTTAACCTCACTTTCAACGTGTTCCAATACAGATACAGCTCATATTGTATTTTGTATTTCCACTACGGGTTTACTGAGACACTGTGACGAAAATGACAATGTCATCATGGGTGTTAGAAAACAAATGAATAGGGGCAAGCTTCCAAGTATACTTTACGAAGGTTCTGGCGCGTCAGGTTGGTATGTCTCAATTTCACACTAGGTGAGGTATTCCATCAAGTACAAGTACGATATCAAACTAAACAGCTAACTTTGTAAATATTACTACAAGAATAATAATTGATGAATTTAGCAATGACCTACATAATTTTCAAAAATATTGGTCACTTCATTTAAACCGTTGTAAACAAACTTTACGGGTTTCAGAATTTTAAAATATTTTTACCATACAAAGAATATATATATAGCATAATTTATAAGAAATAACATTTGGTGGACTGACACTATAAAGTATAACACGAGGAGGGTGATGTTATGTCAAGTGCTCATTTCAGCTCATTTTTTACTCCAGTTTTGACAAAGAACCCAGTACTGGCATCACAGATTCTAGTATCTAAGTACATATTTGATATCAAAGTTATCAACTTCACCTTAGCAGCAGCATTATAACGGAAAAAAATCAGTTTTAAATTGAAACAGTGATTTGTTAGGCTCTTGAGTAAGTGTAACTTAATGTTCTGAGCAGGAGTACTGTAAGGAGCTCCAATTTGGCCAAATTAGACCCTAGGGAGCTGAGAACATAAGATAAACTTTTATCAATCTAATGGATATCTGTACACAGCCTTTGTACATGTAGTACCACCATCCCGAATACATGTCAGACCATTTGCATCGCTTTGCCGTCGCCGGAAATGGAAAAGAATAGGTATATAAATTATAAATTTATTTTACAGTACGTTATTTTATCAATATGCCATTGTAATTTCCTTTATAAGTTGAGTTGTCAATTTTTCTTTTGAGGAAAATGTCCAAACATGTCACTATATCATTAAATGAAATTATCGTATAAATATAGCCTGCTTTTATTATACTTGAAGCATAGCGAACCATGCAAAATGAAGTCGATAAGCAAACTCTTAATCAATTAAGGTGAATTTACAATCGGCAACACACCACTCACATAGACGGATCATTTTTCAAGCATCGTTATTTTCTCTTGACATAAACTGTAAAGTAGGCCGACTTCCTTTGAGGAATATTTCATCGCGATAGACAATATGCGGAACCACTTGTCTTATGGTGCAATTTAAAAGAAATTCTAGTTTGAGTTATCGTTGTCATAAATTAAATGCTAACTTTTTATTGTTTATTGGCAACTTCAACTTCTAAGTGCCAACATCAGAAAAGTGAATTGTCAAGTGCTAATCATCCTGTTTAACTTTTTATTCCAAATATCAAATTCATAAAATATGTAAAGACCATTTATATACACAATTCAGAAAAGAATTCGAGAATTCACAATTAAGAATACTTTAATGCAAATTAGAAATTAAAATTCACAAGAAATTAACCGAGAGGTAAGACTAAGCAATTGAAGTGACTATATTGAAAAAAGAAGTAAGCATATATGGAGAAATTACGATACCAAAATATGAATGAGACATTTAGGAGGCATTTTTCAATTAAGAATACCTTAATACATATTAGAATATGTCTAAATAGAAAGTTAACCTCAAGCACTCAGAACTTCGGACTTGAACAAGTCAGAACTTTTCAAAACATCTCGAAAAAGAATCTTTTGAGTCCTTGGAGACTACAAAACTGGCAAAGGTCACGTCTCGGTCACTGGTGAATATTTAAATTATGTATCAGAGCTGTTGCTGTGTTTTCGGCTAACTTTTCTAAGAATTCTTGAAAAACAAATCAAAGAAATAATGTAAAAGTCGCAACGATAAGAAAATTATTTATATTATAAACAAGCAAATTAGAAAACTGAGAACAGAAATGAATATAAACAAACTTTTTTGTCAAGTCGGTTATCATTTGGTACATGTTTGTAAAATTGAAAAAAGTGAATGCTTAATTCATATATCAAAAGAAATTGATTTTCTATAGCAATATTGTTGATAGCCATAATCACCACTGGATCACTCACTGTATAATAAAACTGACATTTGTAATAATTTTGATGAGCAGAGTAAAATATATGATACCTTCATTATTCTTTTCAATGGGATTACTGTATAGTTTGTAGATTAGCCAATTGTAGTATCACAATTGAATAAGTTTTCTCTGTGTTTTTGGTAACATTTCAGTAACGGCTATATTGTCGTATTGATTAAACACTGATAACATTTTAAGTTCGTTTCTGTTCTAAATACTATCGGAGTTTGTATAGAAAACCTTGAAGTGCTCTTGGCCTAAGTTATTTCAGTTTTCTTGATAAAAAGATCGTTATTTACATAGGAAAAATGTCTCTCGATATAATTGGTTGTGTGAGCTGTCTGTCTAAGTTAGTGACTTAGTTTTGGTAACATAAAAAAATCAATTCCCGTGCATCTTACTTGGTCTAAGGGAGCGAGGTCTGCACGGTGATTAAACTGTTGATGATGTGATGGTGTTATAATCATATAATCTGCATGACCTCTTGTTTCATCTCCGTAGGGTCCGCGGTGGCCAAGTGGTTAAGGCGTCTGACCGTCTGAAACAGTATAGCCCTCCACGTACTTGGTCGTGTGTTCGAAGTCTACGTGGTACAGTCGCTAGGTACTGGCCATAAGTAGGTGTTTTTTCTCCGGGGACTCCTCGGATATCCTTAACAACAAAAACCTGGAAGTTCTTATATTTACATAGCTGTTCATAGGACGTAAAACACAAACAAACCAAACCAAGTTTCATCTTGGTTGCTAGTGTCGTGTTGATCCATGGGAGAGGATGCTGCCTCAGCAGCTGAATCATAAATTACCTTAAAGGCTCCGGTGTTATTATTTCCTTCTGTGTTCGTTTTTTAATTAGCATTGTAGATATGGTTGGACTTATTTGGATTTGAGTTTTGACGCTCTCGACTCTGACAATGTTTAACAATGCAGATANACGTAACTCGTAAGTCGCAAGTGGATGGCAGAAATATGCCACCATAATTTTCAAATAAATAGAAAATAAGACGGACCGATCTCTTGGCAGAGAAGAAAAACACTCACCTGGGCTGGCTGCAAGAGAGTAATGGTAGGACAATTTTCAGCTGGTTGGAATTAAGGACAGTTCTTTCGTTATTGTGAAATGAATAAAAATTACATTTTGTTATTATAATCGTGAACGTTAAAGTACATTTGATTGCCAAACCTTTATTTCGTATATTTCTCTTAAAAGTGAAGCGGGACTTGAGTTGATTGCTTGAGCATGTGTG